TATTATATTTCATTGCTAAATAAACAGGCTAGATTCTGTAAATATTATTGTTAGAATGCTAAACTTTCTCCATACACTGTTTTCTTGTATTTCTATATATGAAGGTGTTCATGTGTGGATGAATTTGGTTTAAATCTCTCACTGGGACTACGTTTACAGAGCGAACTGCCAAAAGTGTCTTGACTGGAAGGACTTCCTTTTGTCACTTTGAACGATGTGTTATTTTGCATCATAAAGTATATAGGCTACTTCAAGTTCTGCTTAGTGATTATTTGACTTCTTCCGGTTTCTTTCTATGCTTATGTTATTCTAACATTTTATCTTGATTTTATTTATCACTACAGTCATGTTCCTCTGCTCTCAGCCCCTCTCATGTCCCTCTGTTACTGAGATTCTTGATTAAGTTTATACAACATATGTTTTTAGATCTCTTCTTTTCATTAAACTGCACTACAGTACTTGCTTCTCACATGGCTCTGTCCTTCTCCTGCCTGAATTTAGCTTTAACCGATGACATTAAAGAATATGTTGGACCTCGCTGGTGATCACTTTGGTTGGAGGTTTTGCCCACCAAAGACAGTCCAAAACTCACTGAGCAACCAACTGCACAAACAGATTTATAGAATCTTCCAAAAGAAAAGAGACACAAAAAGATTGTCATAATTCATAAAGGTATCTGGAATATAATACCTTTTGTCAAAACTTTTGTTTTGTGATCATTTTGAGGATATAGCCTGTTTTTATAAGTGGTTGGATGAAATGCATACAAGGGAGGCTATTGAGTGTCTCCAGTTTGCAAGTTGTTTCAAATAATTAAATATTGCACTGCAATGTTTTATTATGTCTCACAATTTTTTATTCTGGCAACCATGAAAAGAGTTTTATTTAATTAGGCTTTATCAGTGCATAAAATGTCAGTGTGTGTGTGGGGGGGACTTAAAGTTCATTTGCAGCCAAATTGTTCCATAACGTTCTGCTTACTCTGAATTTACTCACTAGTCCTGCTTTTATATCAATCAGCCCAGGTTTATTTTTCTTCTGTCAGCTGTTACATTATGTTGAATAGAGTTACATTGAATTATAGAAAAAATTTTTAATCCCCATTGTGTCCAATGTGAAGTTTCTTCAGCCAGTGATGGTTTGGTGTTCCATGTCATCCACTGATTTTCAGAAATCTGACATTTGTGCTTGAAACACTACTTTATGTGTATTGAATCGCTATAAAAATACAATTTCACTTTGTGAGATGATGAGAAATTGCAGAAAATATTGGACTTTTACACAGCATTCTAATTTTTTCAGATGTACTTGTACAACTTGGAGACAAATAGAACATTAGGAGACACCAGCGCTTGTCCCTGGGTCACTGTAAGCCATTATATAACAGTTAGCATGCAGCCCAAGCAACACCATTGGTATTTATACCACAGTTGGAAAACCTTGGTTCTAAATCATTCAAACATCAATAGTCCCATGATATGCTTTTCCTTTTGTAGTTCAGCAAAGACAATTAACACGGACTACTGATGCTGTCGTCTTCACATCTCCTTGCTTTTTTAGCACACTGCAAATACAAAACCAACAAAACAAACAGTTCTTCCATTCAATATATATGAGGAGACTTTCTGCATGGTTTTAGGAAACTGGTGTATATGTATAAATAATTTATGCCAGCAGGGGTGTTTCACCTCTTGAGAAACATGTTTTTTTTTCTTCTACTTACTTGAAAGGGCAAAGACACAGAGCATAGGAGATTCATGTCACATGCCAGGAACTGATTACAGTTCCTGGCAGAGACTCCAGTAGTCTCTTTAATGTTTTGTCTACCTTTTAACAAGATTCTTTTTGTCCAAACAACTGTGGAGGGACCTCCTGGATTTGAAGTAAACAAGTTCCTATTTTTGTCATATTTTTTCAACAAGAAGTTTATAACACATCCAAAGGTGTAGGATATGCTTCTGTGACTTTGTATTATTTTTCTTTTTCTCACAAATCTCTAGTTTTTAAATAAAATGTATCTTGAATACTCCCCTTTGACCTAATCAAGGTAATTTGGCTTGTGGGAGGGCACAAGAGGACTGTGTGCTTTGCCAGAACATTGCAGAGCTAGTGTATGCCGTGACCCTCACAGGTCGGTGACCCTGCACCAAACAACAGGAGCCAAGCCAGTCGATGATGCAGAGCAGCGGGAGGTGTGCTGCAGAAATGGTAGCGCTGCTCCGCACTCAGCCGATGATGCAGGCAGGGCTCACCAGGAGGCTGAGCTATGAGCCCCACGCCTCCCTGGCGTTGATGAGAGATCCCAGTGGCAAGCCGCGAGGCTGACAGGTCTGTGAATCTCAGAAGAGACAGATGGTGAAAGAAAAGGGGGTGGGGGAAAGTGACATTTTTAAACATCACACTGTCCAGAAAAATTATAGTGCTTTGTAGGGATTTTGCGCAGTCCTCTCAATTGGAGGCATGTTTCTTTTCATGCCATTGTCTCTCTGCAGTGGTCAATTAGGTTCTGGGAACACTCGGAGGGGAAGTGTTGTCCAGCTGCCGTGTGTCAGATCAGGCTGCAGCTCTCGTGAACTGTAATGAGAAGAACAGCACACTCCATCTCTCTATCTACCGTAGTTATGAGCAGCAGTACGAGCAGACACACCAGGAGTGCTCTTTTCAGAGCTGTTCACTGCAAAGCTTTCCCATGAAAGCCTTATTGCTTTCTCAAGCACTTGTTCACCATCTTTAAAGTGAGGATGAATAATTTGTTCAGTGTTTGTGTTATTACAACCCACAGTTGTGCCCTGTGCAGGTTTTTTATGATGTGTCTTGTGTGATGGTGTTATGTTTTGTCCCGTGATGCATATTATTGTCCACCTGGTTGTTATTGTGTACTTGATTGGAGAGTAAAGGCTGGTCTACGGAAAATTATTTCTCCTTTGGACAATAAGATCTACAATCTATTCTCATTATTTCAGATAGTGTGAATCACTGTCATAGTTGTTTTTAACCTTTATCATACAAGTTTACATGAGTATAAATAATAAAAACACAGACTGATGTTTTCAACCATTTATTTGTATCAATGTTTTTCTGCTTACTGAAGACCATTATAAACATTTTCATACAGAAATGTGGGTTTACTGAAAAGTATGTTCAATACCTGCTTAACGGTTGCATTTCTAAAAGGTACTTTTAATCTAACAAATGAGAATAGTTCTTGACTTTTTAACTTTCATTTTTGTCAAACTGAAATCCAGGATGACAAAATTTGGATCACTATGAATACAAATAAAACGGGGACCAATTGCAATTTAGAAAACTTTGAAGGGCCCTTTTGAATTGATCATATTTATAAAACTCTCCACAGACCTTAACCCCTCAGATAAATAACATTTTAAGCTCTAAGGAGCAGCAGAATATATTCACCGGTTTTGCTGGGTCGGAAATTTGTCATTTGTACTCTTTCTAGTGATATTTATATGCTTAAATGGTTCAGCTTTTGAATGGTGTATTTATGGAAAAACTGATTTGTGAAAAATGCAGGTTCCAGAACAAATTGTGCAGCAAAGCTGAGCCATGTGTCACTCTAAATCCGAGTTCACTGCTGGATGACTTCACAATTGAACCTTGGTTTGCTTTCTACGATTGTTCCCAGAATGGTTTTCTGCATTCAATTTAATGCAAAGATAATTAATTAGCATAGAAGTATTTCTTGAGTGTATTCTCTTGGCTTCAGTATGGAATCCATCATGAGTCAGTCAGCATATGTATTAAACAGGCTCTAAGAGCTGGTGCTGAATGTGAGTGACAGTCCTGCTTATTTCATCTTGGCGCTACTGTTTACTGACTTTAACTCATTATTTCTGTTTACTCTGACAAAGGGATGGGCTGAAACTCAGAGTGCTATTTCACCAGCATTCCTGCTTTAATCAGCTTCTATAACACAGCTGAGGTTATTAAATATACACAGTGGCGGCATGTTATTACAAGATGAAACATACCACTAGCTCCTGACCTAGTAAAAACACTTTAATTATAGAACCTTGACAAAACAAAGACTTTAAATTAAGAATAGACCCTCAATGTATTTGCTGAGACTCGGCTTCTTATTTGCACAAAGCAGAATGATCCATCCCAAATACTTGAAGCAACTTTTTAATCCAGTTGCTTTTTACATTTTTTTATTTTATTTGCAAAAAGAAGAAAATCAATGGAACAGAATAAAAACATGTATTATTTGATTTATATGGTTGCATCCTAGAATAACAATCTTACAGCTGAAAATGAATATTGAACACATTGATGGTTTTATGGTCAACAACTAACTTACTGATTAACCCTAGTCTGGTCCTGCTTTTAGCAAAACATTGCAGTGGACTTGGACATAGGGAGAAGTCGCCTTTGGACTAGTTATATTGACTACTGCTAGCCCTGCCCAATTGTCAATTAAAGTATGAATTATCTAAATATGTTGAAGAGCAGCAGCCAAATGTAAAATATTTTTACTCTAAAGCTAAAATTGTTAAATAGTTATAATTCTTTAGGTAAGTAAAAGTCTATTTGAATATGTGACTGTCTATTTTTAATCAATTTTTGATTTATTTGTGATATTCAAATGAGTATAGAGTTATTATGTAAGTTATTATGATTTTATATTGAGCAGAGGAACTTGTAGAGCTCTGTACCTTCCATTTATTTGAAAGAGATAAAATTCTTGTTTTTCAAATTAATGCTTTGGTTCTTATACACTGGAACAGAAACACAATGACGAATTTGTTGTGGGTGTTTAAAAGACACAGAAGGTTATATTTTGTGGTCACAAACACGACAAAAAAGTGTTTTAAAAATATATAAGAAATAATTTTAGAATGAGTTATATTTTACATGTCCTATCTTTCACTCCGTCCAAACCTGCACACGTCGGAACATGCTGAGCAACGCGAACAGTCGCACCTGGAACTTCATCACGGAAATGACGTCAACGCGCCGCAATTCAAATTTCAGGAAATGAAAGCGCTGTTTGAGCAACGGTCTCGTTACATGTAGGGTGGATTACAAACGCTTCTTCTGCTCCTTTCATAGAGTAAGTTCTACATTTCTCATATGGAGAGTGATTAACGTGTATTCTATATTTTTATGTGAATATCTAAGTTAGAAATTACGAGGTCTCAGTTAGAGGAAGATAAACAAAATGTCGAGTTAGTTTTTGTTTTCTATTGTCCTGAAAACATTTGTAAAGAAGATTGAGATTCGCCAATATTTCAAAAGGCTTTTTTTACTTTAAGGTAAATTATTTTCTAAATTGTCTGTTTATAGAAAATATGCTATACTTGTCAGGATTGGGATGATGACGTTTCCTGTTTGTTGCTACAACTTTGGGTTTTAAACGTTTTAATGACATGTCGGTGCTTCTTCTTTCCTGTCTCTATTGCAGATAAACTTTAGTTCAGAAGCAACAATACTTAAACTTGTCAAACATGTTCAGGAAAAACCTTTAAAAACAGACTTAAAAAAAACATTGCTTAAAATCTGAGAAGTTACCGTGAAAGCCCTCAAAACGTCAGTTTTACTGCTTTTTTGTTCTGGCCAGAAACCAAGTTTGGGTTTCCTTTAACGAGGTTCACGTTAAAAAAAAAGCATTTTATAACTTGTCAAATCTCATCAACACTAAATATGCATTATTTTGACATTCAATTATGACTGCGTGTTGTATTTATCAATACATTTAGTTGGAGTCATGGTGTTCAAAAGACTTTTTGAATTTTGCTCTGAGGTATTTCAGCAGGAATCTTGTTTTTTTCTCCTTGTTTTTGCGTCAACTTCACTCTGGATTCTTTCTACAGTTACAAAACAGATAAACTCCTTAGAATGCTTAATGCATTGATGATCTGATGGACAGAACAATTTGCAATATTGTCACAGAATACACAACAGAGGTCATCACATATTATTTACTGACATTTCCCTCACTGATTACTTTCTGTGTCATGATATCAAACTCGGCTTTCAAATCTCATTTGCGGCCATAAAGTACTGTTCAAGTCCTCCCGACTGCCCAGGGAGCTTACTGTATTGCACCTGACCTGTTGTGACCTAATTATTGTATTTGATCCAACAGTTTGTTTTTATATGAAACACATTAATTTCGCAATGATGTAAAATAAATGGTTCTAATCACTACCATTTTATTTTAATTATTCTTAATTCTAGTCCTAAAGAGTTTATGTTTTTATTTGCTTCAAATCTGGAGGCAAGTTTTGCTAAAATATGCATTGCCCAACTTATTCTTTAAGTTATTTAAAATCTTTCAACTAGACTTTCAAATGAATTTTCTGAAACATCTTAGAGTAAACGACTCCATTTCATACTGCAAAAAAATGTTGGGCACAAAATTGCAAAAGTACTAAATGGAGACCGTGTGAATATTCACCCACACCCAAGAAAATGTTGACTATAGTCAGAATATATCCAATAATCTGAAGCAGTTGCAAAAGGCATCAATGTTCACTACCAGTTAAATTACAATGACTGTTCTCTTTTTTATTTTTTACAAATGATTACATTGAAATCAAAGTATAATAGTGTCTTCAAATGATTTGTAAGTTCTAGAACACTCCATCTTACACCTATCAACAAAGGAAACCATGGCATCTAAAGGTGCCAAAGAGACCCTCGTCTCCAAGTTGGGATTCAGATCCAACAATTCTGGCTCAAAGGCAGAGGCAGAGCTGGAGAAAGTCCGGAAGGAGAACGCCCACTTGAGGAAAAAGATTGACGAACAGGCCAAACGGCACGTCAAGCCCCCTGACTCAGACAAGAGCAAGCTGCTGGAGGTAAAGGGGTTCACTGTTACTGATTTTCAAGTCCTGTTGTATTCATTTGTTTTTAAATATGGACATCTGATTCTCCAGAGGATTCTTTCCCTCGAGACGCTCCGCGAGAGGAACAATCAGCAGCTGCTGGTTAAAGAACAGGAACTGGAAAGTCTAAGACAACAGTTGTCAGCTAAAGGAGGAGAGGTACGTACACTGACAACTGTATGTTTTCAGAATCGCATTTGTTCCATCATCTCTCATGACTAGGCCTCTACACACCGGTACATAGACACACGATTAACTCAGGCTTAAAGTCCTGCCTAAATGAGAGTAAACCCACAGCAGGAGCACTCTCCAGCATGTGACTTGTGTTTTTTCCCACACTCAGGTATTGCATTGGTGGCATATGGGAAACTGTCAGCGAGAGGGAAGGGAGAAAAAACATACTGGAATTTCAATGAGCTGCCACAAACAGAGGGGGAAATCACTTCTATCCCACTTTGACAGCAGCTCTGCAAAATGAAGTTTAGACAACCAGCAGAAGCTGCATACCAATGTACACCGTTAGATTCTGTTCGCTTGACATTTATAAACTGTTTGTCTGTGGCTGCTGTCTGTATGTATTAGCATTCATGTCATGTTGCTGTTTGACACTAGTGTAAAAACTCGTTCTGCTGTTGCTCATCCTTGTGTAATATGTCCTCTATTGTGGCAGAAATGACTCTAATTTCAAGTGGTCAGAGTGGCAGCAGGCTAAGCTCACAGATGACATGCTGGTAAATGGAATGTCAGCGTTTTGTTTTGCCCAGACATTAATCATGCTTGCATCTTCCTCATTAAGTTTCATCAGCAGACACGCAAGTGGCTAATGCCACCAGACTCCCAGCCGCGCTACGTCGATTACGAAAGAAGGATAATTGCACAGAAGAGAGAAAAACAAATCATTTTCCCTCTTACCACCTTCCATCGAACAATGCTTCAACAATAAGGTTAAAAAGATTTTGGTGACATACAGGCTTCTTCTTCTTTTTTTTTTCTTTTATAGGTTGTTGCGTCGCTGCAGGCCCAGCTGGAGCAGCGCAGGAGAGAGGCAGAGCAGAGAGATGGGATGTTCCAGAACTTGTCACAAGAAACGGAAAATCTGAAAAACAAGCTGGCCACAGTTTCTGCTCGTTGTCAGTCCCTGGAAACGCAGGCCACGGTAGGCTGACCCTAATACGCTGCTACCTGTCAAGATGTTCTAATTAGTCAAGAAGAGATTTCTCTTCTTGACATGATCTGGTTGCTTTTTCTGTGCAATGGAAATGATCTAGCTGATCTTTTGATTTGCCTGGACAAGCATTTGTGACTTTTTTTGCATCATGACTAGTCTGCCTGTGGAATATCGCTCATATATTTGACATTTACTGTAGCAAGAATGGAAAAGATGAAATGATTAGTGGTAATGCTGATCAGTTTAAGTTGAGAAGTCAACAATTGATCCTTGGTGCATAGAAATAAAATGTAGACTCTTGAGATTTTCCAGGGGGGTAGGAGTATTAAAATTGAAATGAGTGAAATAATTTGTATTTTCAAACTTTAATATTTGTAAAAGAAAAAAAAAAGTCAAATGTTGAATCTTTTCATCCCTCTCTCTGCCAATCCATCTATCCCTCCATTGTTTTATTTATCTTCTTCCCTGACCATCCTTTGTTTTTCTGTCATCCATCCTTCCATTGGTCCATTTGTCCATCTATTCCTCTGGAAATCCTTGTGTTCCTCCAACCATCTATCTTTTGTCGTCCTTCAGCCCCCCATCCATCACTGTTCCTCTATCTAGTTCTCCCTCTCTTCATCCAACTCTTCCTCCTTTCCACCATCAGTGTCAGTCTGTGCCTCCAACTCTCCATTTGTCAAATTAAGGAAGAAATTGCATTTCCTGACTTAATTCCCCATGTTGTTGTCTTAAACTTATATCCATCCATCCAAGCTAATTAATAATGATGGTGATTTATGATTGTGACTGAAAAGCATTGAGTTGAAAAAAAGCTCACCCAGAACAGGGATAGTAAATTTGCCTTTGCCTGGGAAAGTAAGTGGCACTTTGATCCTTAAATCTGTCCATGCATCATTTTTCCCCACTAACTTTTCATCCATTCATCTGAAGTCTGTAGTTCTGGTTTTCATGTTTAAAACATGACCATAGTAGAAACATTTGCTTTAAATTTGTGGAGAACTTTTAGGTTTATGTTTGCCAAAATGTACTGAGAACTCTAAAGAAAAAGTGCAAAGATTTTGACATGAAAAGTGATCAGTGATTGATGGATTAAAGGGCTTAAGGGAATTGTGGCTGTTTTGTCCATCAGGTGGCAGTGTTTAATCTCAGTTTTCCTGCTGACATCACCTTCTCCCTGGAGCCTCCTCACCACTTTATCACGAAGGGTTTATTGCTATAAAATACATCAGCTGTAATAAGCATTGTAATGGTGAAAATCAGATTTTTCAGTAGCCCCTTTATTTTTATCTGCCGTCAGCAATGTAAGTCTGCTTATGGTGGAGATAAAAGGAAATCTGTAGTAGCCACTTCTTCACTGTAGATCCAGTGCTGCTGCATTGACTCTAAATCTGTCATCAGGATTCTTCCCTGCCTGTAAGGAAGCAAAATTACATGCAGGGCTTTAAAGAATATAAAAAGATTTAGCTATATCATACAAAAAAAATTCCAACTAATAAGCTTATTTAAAGAGGATTTCATCTCAAAATATGTGCATTTTTTATCTGTTATGTTGCATGATTATGTGGATCCTTTGTATTTGTTTGAGTAATTTTCTTGCTCACGGTTTAGACTATTTGCTGTACCAGCTAGAACTGGAAGAAACAGTTTTTAAAAAGCTGTTGTTCTATATATATAGCTATAATAAACAGAAAGCTCGCATTTGCTGCTTAAAGATTAGGTTATATCTTTGATGAAAGATGTTTGTTTCCTATCTATTATTAGACCAAAGCATTAGAGTGCAAAATATGGATTCAAATGAGCAGAAGTATGAGTGGCCCATTTTTAAGATGCGTTGCATAGTTTCAGGCATCAGAAATGGCTGCTCTGTGTGAGACAGGAAGTTGCTTCAGGCCATCAACAGAGCACACAAACTAATTGAAAGCTTTAAAAACATTTGACAGAAAAGCTGACTTATGAAACCGCCACTTTGTTTGATGTGACACATGACTTCTAACATTTGTAGTTGATAAATAAAAATCTTATTTTTGGATGAACAGACATTCCAAAATAAACAACAGTTTACCAAATTAATGGAAGCAATGTTGGGAAAAAATTGCTCATAATTATACCACTCAGCTGCTACAGGGTGTAGATCCCATTACCATGGCATAAATTTATGATTATCTGGAAAACATGTTTAATAAGATACTGCTAAATGTTTTTATTATTATTATTTAGGTATGGATCTTCAGACTCTTCTTTAAACTGTAACTTATTTGATCTAATGTGTTTAAATCTTACTACAGCTTTCTTTGATATAGGCAATGCTGCTAATATCAACACAAACTAAACAACTACTTCTCCTACTACAATGAGATTCCTGTATCCTTTCTTTATGTGATTTCAGTAATGTAATTTTGTCAATCCCCTTATCCATTGATCACTTTGTCCATCAAAAGTTGTTTTTATCTGATATCATGCAGTGCTATCTATTGGCGTGTCCATCGGTTCGTTCACCCACCTTCCAACTGCTTGTCTATTAATTATCCGTATGGTTTGTTTTGGTATTTTTTTTTGTCTTTTATCTGTTTTCCATCTCCCATCCTTTTTTGGTCCATTTGTCATCCTTCCTGTCTTTCAGTCTTGGGTTTTTCCAGGTACCACATTTAAATCTTGCCCTTGATAGATGAGTCTACCTAAAACGTCTTTGGTATTTATATTTGGGCTAAAATAAACTGACAGAAATTGCAATTTGAGTCCAGAAGGGTATAAAATTTTAAGATAACGAATGTATAGAGATGGAGATCAGACTCGAAGGCTTACAGCGACAGTCATGTGACATGACCAACAAGCCTCTGGAGGCTGTACACTGCAGGGTCGGTGACATGGTCATGTAGCCAAGACTTGGGAGCGCAGAAGAGCATACATTTATCTCTTGCTGCTCTGTTTTTCTTGCATTATTAAAAGTTGGACTAAATAATTTAAATCAGCAGGCCTGTGTGTAATTTTTGAGCCTGTGGCAGTTTTGTATCTACTTTATTTTTTTCACTGAAAATGGAGAATCTTATTTTAAATTAACAGTGCCTGTCACTTGACAGTTAGCAGAACCTGGCCAGCTTTTAAAAAAAAAACACAGGAGCAACAGGATTTTTTTTATTTTTTTTTATGAATCAAACATCTTTTTTTCTTTATTTTAAAGTCAGCCTCAACTGAATGTTGGTTGTGACAGCTAGATCAGTTGCAACTGCTGCATATTTACTAGTACTTTGTCATTTAACCTTTGCAACATCTCCCTCCTTCTCTTTTCAGAATGGGCATGCTCCTGCTGCAGAACTGGTACAGATGCAAGATCAACTCAAAGATGTGAGTCCTTCTTGTAACATCTTCATAAATTTGATATGTTAAACCTCATATTCTGTCATTGGATAGCATAGGTATCCAATGATACCTATAGTATTGGGAAGCTTATAAAGTTTATCAAAAAGTGCACAAGTTCTTTTGAGTTTTGCTGCATGAAAACAACAAACTTCAACACATTTTATTGGGATTTTATTTGAGAGAAGCACAGTGTGTCAGAAAAAACATTAAAGTGGAAGGAAATTGAGACATGGTTTTCAAAATGCATTACAACAAGGATTCTGAAAAGTGTGGTGTGCCTTTTAGTGTGTAGAATGTCTTTTAGATACAATTAGAACTACAATATTTTTTGTTGTTGTTAGCAAAGTAGTTTATATTGAGTGAGATTGGCTCAAGGATGTTTTTTTTTTAAAACCTGCCACTAATTCTCAACTTGATTTGCATCCAGGCTTTGACTAGACCAGATATCTGTAACCTGCAGCGCTGATGTTTGATGTAACTCTTTAGACCCAACACAGTGGATCTTAATAATTTTGGAAAAATTGAGCAATGTTTTAAAATGTGAAGTCATTAAAAAAAGGGGGGGGGAATGTCTTCCTACCATTGTCAAAAAGTATTGACCTTTAAACTTCATGAACTTTTTCATTTAATCACTAGTGTTTCTCTTCTCATTAATTCATGACCTCAAGCTCAGGTTATCATTACCCAGAATCCAGAGTGCTTGTCTAAAACAGTTGTAAAATCTTCCCATTAGGCTCTGGAAAAGAACCAGCAGTGGCTGGTCTATGATCAGCAGCGAGAGGTCTTTGTGCAGTCAGTCGTTGCCAGAACAATGGAGTTGGAGCAGCAACTGGCGCAGGCCAAGCAGCAACAAGAAAGTAAAGCAGAACCCAGCTCTGAGGGTAAATATACCTCACAGCCTCATATACATAGAATATGGAAACAACAGGATTACCTCATCTTTCTGTGTTCAGATACAGAAAGATGAGGTAAATGTATCCTCAGTGGACATTCCTTTCAGTTGAATTGTTTTGTTTTTATTTCTGGTCAGAAATCGGAGTTCTGCTGTTGTATCAGCAAAAGTTTGCTGTTAATATTTGACGGAATCTGAAAAATTTACAGCAAAATTTGTCTTTAAAATTTTAGTGGAAGCTTTTTCTTCTTGAACTGGAGGCCTGATTTCTGTCTTACCTCCTTCCACCCCACCCCCAGTGTCAGCTTCAAACAACACTCAAGGTAAAGAGAAGGAGTCTGACCTGAAAAAGCACTACGAGACGATGCTTTTAGGTGTGCAGAAAGACCTGGAGAGCCAGAAAGATCAGACTGCCAGAGCTCTGCAGGAGTTAAGTGTGCAAAAGGAACAGGTAAACAATACTAATGCTAAAAACTTTTTACCTAGAGAATCTCGATGACGTTTTTACCCACATAACACATTTTAGATGGGATTTTCTTCAAACTTAAATGTCTCATTGTCAATAGAATATTTTATATCAAAGATAACCTGAGTAAATGCACATCACTATTTTTTTAATTGTTGATATAATACTACATATTAGAAGAAAGCTAATATGTAGTCTCTTGTCACCATTTTTTCCTGTTTAAGTGTGAACAAATTCATTGACATTCCATCCTTTGAAAAAGGCAGCTTCAGCACCGAATCAGTATGCAGCTGAATATCCAGAGTCCTTGGATTCAGACATCTTTATAATTGATCTGCAGAGCTGGATTAAAGAACTGAGTAAGACGGAAAACAAACAGCGTTTTTGCAATTTCTTTTATGGCCTCTGCAGACCTTGAAAGCTCAAGCCGAGCTGCAGCGGCAGAGGGAACAGGTCGGCCGGGTCCAGCAGGAGCGCTGCGTGCTGCAGAGGAAGTATGACGACAAGTGCAGCGAGTTGTTGGCCTTTCTGAGGAAATACGAAGAAAGGGGCAAGGAGCTGGATGAAGCCAAGATACAGCTGCAGGCGGAACGCCTTGGCAACAGGTAAAACCAGCAGCGTGCTGTGGATGTTCATGTGCTCTGAAAGAACCCAAACCTGTGGCAAGAAAAGGCTCAACATCACTTTAAACCCAAGTTATTAAGTAGTGTTTCCTCTAAAATGAGTGTTTTCTTTTAATGCTCAGATCTAATATCATGACTTCTACATCTAGACAAGTAGCGCACGAGGAAAGAAAGGTATCATCCGAAAGGACAGACAGGGTGAGAGCCGACCTGGAGAAGGTGGAGAAACGACTGGATGAGGAGAAGAAGAGATCAGCTGACCTTCTGCAGCAGGTCAGACTCCCTTAGCTAAACACAATGAGTAGAGGGATCAATTAAAACCCTTTGGACAATCACTCATTTTACATGCAAATGAACTGAACATGCACCAAAATGTAAATACGAAAGATTCAAGTAGGTTGTTCATTTAAGTAAACTATAAGACTGCTTTAGTAGTAGAATGTGAAGATTCCCAGTGAACTTCTAAATGACTCATTGAAGGCTTGGCTGAAAAAATTTATTTATTCAAGCATTGTTAAAGGTGAAAATCAGTCAACCTTATTAGAAATCTTTATAAGATGAGAGCAGAGAACTGTAACAAAGACGTCCAATTTAAAGTAAAAAGCTTTAACAGAAAACATGCATTTTATACCCAAGGGCAGAAAAATGGGGAAAAATGTAAAAGACAGACTGAGGCCAGCTCTTTGGCAAGTTCCTGTAAGAAACTAGTCTATTCCACACAAAGTCCATATGCATTATAGGAAATGGACATGACCAAAACTTCAACATTGTGATGCAGTTTTTACATTTTCCATCAATTCAATCCACCATCTTTGAAGAAGGAGAAATGCAGAGTCTGACCTGAAGAACATAATTTTCAGTTTTTCTTCTGGTGGTACAGACCATTAGGAGGGGACCTCACTGCATTAAGAGGCCAGTAATTAGAGTAATTTACAGTGGAATCATGTATCAGGAAGCTAAATATGGTACAAAGTCTTCCAGCATAATTGTTCAAGATGCATAATGGAGTGGCCAAAGAAGCATGTCATGGAGTGGAGTGGCTGGTCACTCCAGATCTGAGTCCTGCAGAGGGAGCTGGAGCTTTACAGTGACGAGCAGCAACCAGGAAGCCTGAAGGAGTTTCTGGGAGGAAGACTGGCTCAAAATCTCTTCTTAGCTGTGAAAACTTCATAGCCAGCAGCAGAAGTTTAGTGCTGAGCTTGATCACACAGTTTGAAGTTGTGATTTGCCTGGAGATTGAATACTTACTTCACTCAGTGACATGCAGACCATTTTGACATTTATTATTTTTCATATATATATATTAATCTCTTCACAAACATTTTCACTGTTCAAAACATCTGCATGGGATCAAACACTTATTTATTATACTGGAATACTTTTGAAAATAAGGAGTCTACCAAGTGTTGGGAAAAGTGACAATATAAACGATATTTGTTAAATAATTTTACAACTGTGCACTGTTCACTATGTTTGCACATATTTTTGTGCTAATTTATCCAATATGTATTTAATTTCACATTTTACAGTTGGGCTCCTGCTCAGGCTCTCAAACTGTTTTACATGTTTCCTTCAGGTTGGTTGAAAATGATTAAATGCTCAGCAAACTCAAAACTGTTCTACCTTGATATTTGCTCTTGATAGGTAAATATGCTGCAGAAGTCTCTCATCAACCAAAATGAAGAACGACGGAGAATTGCTGCTCTGGAACAACAGGTAGTGCTCAATTGTTTAGAAAACTGATCAAATGCATAAATTACATGACAAACTGTCATCTTTTTATTTTTTCTTACTTTTTTTTTTTCTGGAACAGTTCCACTATTTTAAAAACTTTCTTTTCATTTCCTCCCAAGATCCAGCTCTCTGCCAAGGACTCTGAGAATGAAAAACTTGATCGTCAGAGCATGCAGGAGCAATTACAGAAAGTGCTGAAAGAGCTTCGCAAAGCTCGTGATCAGATTGCTAAGCTGGAGTCTGCTGTAAGTGTCTGTAGTGTATCTGTGTATTTAAATCATGCAGCAACTTTTATTTTTTAATGCTGTTTGCAAACTAAGTTTACTGACCAAAAATGAGCAGTTGCTTTGTTTTTAGAATGAAAATGAATTGCACTCTTTAAAAAAACCCAAAAATGCCATGTCTTGTTTTCAATTTCAGAAGCAGCAGAGTGCCCGCTTTTCAGAGCCCAGCTCCCATAATAATCTGGAGTTTGAGCGCCTTACTATTAACTCTCATGGCCCCACATCCCCATCTAAAGTTATCAGCCTACTGGATGAGAGTTTCCTGGAGTGTCCAAAGTGTCAGGCTCCTTATCCAACCAGTCGCCACAGAGAACTCCTGGCCCATATTGACTACTGCTTTGCCTGAATGAGCAGACCAGACGAGTAATTCCCGACTCCGACATTAACCGAAGGGGGTAGCTAGACGGTGAGATTGGTTTTAACCAGAATTAAGAAAAAGTTCTGAACAAAAACAGATCTGTTTTGGCTCAACAGATTTGTTGAGCTAAAATGTGTCTCCACTTATGCTTTTTTAAAATGTACTTATTCCAAACTTTTGTGCATTTTCTATGCAAAAACTATAGGAATATAATTTTCACTCACCAAGAGGGTTTAATGATCAGCAGCTATTTTTTTTGTTTTGTCATAAATCCATGTTATAACTCCAGTCATAGTACTCTGAACCATCCATTTCCCTTAAAATGGGGAGGAGGGAAGATTACGAGGCTTTTTATTCTATGTATGTCATATTTCAGACAAAATCAAGCCAAGATGAAACTATTCATTCCATCAGTTTTATTTTTACAAAAAGAAGGTACTTTAAAGCAAACAATTTAAATTTTGTTTGACACATTTAAACTTGATCACCTTTTATGTATTTAGTCTGAAAAAATTTGCTCCAGTTTTTTTTTTTTAAGTCATAGCACTGATCATTGACACAAAATTGGTGGAAGGCTTTTATATACATATGTTTTAGTTGTTTTCATTTTGTGTTCAGATTTTTATTTTTGTGTTTTATCTTGGTATTTATTCTTGGGTTTCTTAAGAGAAATGGAAAGCTTCTATATATTTTCTAGTGAATTATGTGTTTGCCTAATCATGAGGTATCCTCCTTCTATTTACACATGACAGTTTAAGGGTCTCCGTTGTATCATATGAATCAAACCCCTGTAAATGGGTCATTTTGAACTCCCAGTTTTAATACTTTTATCTCTTGATGATGATGGCAGATCTTGTTAAGTAGAGAATGTGCAGCTGTGATTGTTTACCATTTTATAGTACGTACGTGAAGGACAAAATGTGTTAAATTTCTACACTCCAGCTGTTGGCTATTTTCAACATCATTAACTGGCGATTACAATTATCAGCAAATGTCCAGCTAATTAACCATGTGCCTCTTACATTAGCACTGCCCTAGTGCTGCAGCAGCAAACCTGTTCGACTCCTTTTCCACACTTGGATAAACATCGCTGACCCGTGATGGAGATTTTTCTGCCTCACCTCCAAATTTTTAGTTGCTTAAGTTCGACCAGACCAGATGCATGTAGCTGCGCAAGGCTTAACCAGTCACGTTTGTCGGGTTGTCTGTGCATTCCTCTCTACCTTGACTTTTCAAACCTGCAGCCCTGTCAGGCTGGAAAGAGATTGCATGACTTAATTCCTTGTGCTAAACTATTTACAGCGGGGATTACCAAAGGTCTCCTTCTCGGGAGAAAGGTGTTTATTCCTGCAATGTGGGCACAGATTTAAGGCAGACAGACGTTGCTGTGATTTTTGGGTAGCTTTGATTTTACTATATTTTAGTTGAGCGCCATCTGGGAATTTTCTTTTTTAACCAGGTTATGTTTTTAAGTGTTGTTTAATGTATCCTGATCATGTGCTCCTGAATTGTTTTGCTGTGCTCAGTACTGTCTACAAATGTGCAATAAAGACTTAAAACTCCTTCCAGAATAATCCTTCGGCACAATTTTCTTAGTGCTGTAATTTTTTGTTAAATGCAACAGCAGTTCTCTTTGCTGACGAGAAATAAATTGAAAATGTTGAAGTCCATTGTTTTTAGCTATAATTAAGAAGAACACAGTTAAATTAGTTTGATTTGGCTCTTATTTTACATGAAGGACAATCTGGATTGAGATTCACAAAACAGTTGGCACTCCTGGTAAAAATGTTTGCTGAAGCTTTAAGTAAACTTTTATGTAGATTTGTTGACTTCAAGGTGCCACTTTTCTGTAGTTTTCCATTCTTCCTTAGAAAGAAACTGGTTTTCATCCTTTGTCTCAAATCATTTTAACCTTTTTAACCCCTTTTTTAATAGTAGATCTGAGCAAGTTTAGAGGAGTGGCTGTTTCGTCAGATTTTTTTTTTTTAATCTGACTTTTTTGACAAAAATACAAAATATTTCTCCACCGAGACTTTATTGTGGACTCAAAATTTCCTTAGACAAGATCTTTTTCTTTTTAAGAGCCCCAGTTGCTCAGTGTGCAAGGGATGACTTGACTGAATTACATTGTTTGTTTAAAAAAAAAAAAAGTAGAGGAAATAAATGATTGAAACCTGACCTGCTGTTTCATGGCGATGAAGCTTTGCTCACTGCTATATTCCATTACCTACTTGTTGAATAGTTTGCAGCACAGACTCTAGATAAAGCTTGATTTATGCTAAGTAATGCAGCAGACTAATGCACTAATTTAAATTTTAATCTGATTGCAGTGCATTAAGTATGAGTACATGCTGGTCATTTTAGGCCGTGCAACAATTTTTACTGAGACATCTGTCACAAGAAATCCTTGCACCAGCTTTATAAGCAGCCATGGTTTCAAAATGGAGGCCTGCAATGTTTCCTTTCTAATATAGATTGGATAATTTACTACTGTGAATTAGTGAAATTAGAGTTAAAGGGATGACTGCAACTGTTAACAATTTCTAAAAACAATTTTTATAAAAAATATGTAACTTTATTGTTTAATCTATTTTATTCTTTTATTAGAATCACGCATAGCTTTATTAGCTAACCAGTTTATTATGAGCCATTAGGGGAAAGAAATGACCATTTAAAAACCCAGAGTCCAAGCTCATTACAAAGATGGAGCAAAGACCAAGAACTAAATACAGTTTTTAATGGACATAAATATAATAAATGTGGAGTTTCAACTGAAGAACATTTAAAGTCGATCTGTAAAGTTGACATGTTAGGTGTGTTTCCAATAAATCAGTCTGCAATCCATCCATCTGTTTTCTTACACCCTTGTCCCTAGTGGGGTCGGGAAGTGTTTCAGTCTGCACAATCCACTGCATAAAATAAGATTTAAAATTGGCTGCCAACCTCCTGAGCTTATACTGTCCTAACAAGTTCATCATAGCACACTAAAATGCAGCAAGACATCATAACTCTAAAATGCCATGAAAAGACCGACAGCAGCCTTTTGCTTATTTCAAAGCACATGCATGTCCAATCATATACCCAGGTACAAGTTACATTTTTGTGAGAGGTAGACAAGAAGGATATCTTTTCTTTTTAAGATGCACATAAAGTCATATTAAGGTTTGGCAAAAATCATGAGATCTGGAATAATGTTGGACAAACAAGTCAAATGTTAAAGGACTGTTTGGCAGAAACCAAACGCAGCAATTTTCCACAACCTTGCGGCTTTTAGAACAACAGATTTATTGAATATCTTGTGGAATGCAGATTGGATCGTTAAAAAAAAAAAAAAGTCAAAAGATGTTTGAATGTTTTATTTGAAAAACTGGATCAAGAAGTAAACATCAGTCAAGATTAACAAACAGATTTACTACTGAACATGTTTGCTGGATATTACAGTTTAATAATAAAAAAAAAGTACTGTGCATTGTAGGAATATGTAAAAGCAAAGCCCCTTTTATGAGATATTTGGATCAGACAAGATTTCCACATGTGATAATTTATAACGCTGCTTCTTCCTTATGAGCCAATATACTGAAAAGAAATAAAATAAGCAACAGATGTTGAAGATAAGACTGAAATTTAATGAGAAAAACGCTGACTGTGAACAACAATAAGTGTGAAAGTTTGGAGTTTGTGATTTTTTTAAAATTTATTTCTTTAAAAAAAAATGAGGAAACTACTTCCTCTCATGTGAGAGAAACTGAGGTGGTGAGGAGGAGGTGGGATTCAATCTGAAATCAGCAGAAAGGACAAAAGAAACATCAAGAGGAGGGTCACTGAGGCGGCTCGGCATTTCCGCTGTTCTCGCAAAAACCTGAGGGAGAACAGAAAAACAGTACGCTTATTAAAGATATTCATCAAACAACCTGCATTGTATTTTTTGTTTATTTTTTTTGTGCATGACAGGCTATCCAGTTAGAAATGCATTACTCAGAATTACACTGAGTACGCACTCCTCTAATCAATCAATGAAGATAAACACTGGTCATAAGGTTTGAAGCAACATCTCTCAGTTAATCATTAATTTGGTCTTTAACCTTATTGAACAACTCAAATTGCAACCTCCCTCACATCGCCCCCCGATCAATAATGGCTGGTGGGAATTGACTCACCGTTGTGTGTTACGCGTCGGTATTTGCCCAAAAGACAGAGGTCCATCTTTTTCTGCGTGATGATGGCCTGGTCTTCTGGCCTCAGGCCGGTTGGGTGGCGTGAGAAGACGAAAGAGTAGCTATCCAAGCATGTGCCGTCCTCGTTGAGCAATCTGCAGGAGTAGTGGATGGCGTAGTTGTCGTAATCGGTGTCGATAACCCAGTGTTCGTCATCTGAAAGCAGGACGGGTTATGTGATGATTAGAATATTTGCTTCCATTTGCTAAAATGAAGATTTATCTGGTTTCTTTAACTCATTAGATTTCCATTAAAACTTAGGACATTCCAAAAAGCAATGGGCCTGTGGTCAACAATTTTCACTCTATCGCTTAATTTCCGCAGACAGCTACAGTGCCGGGTTGAATTTTGGGATTTTTTTTGTTCTCTGTCTTTCCTTTTGTGAGTCAAGTCACGCTTACTTCCTGTCTGCAGGTATGAAGCAGCTCCCCAGTATCTCATTCTAAACTTGGCAGGGTTCGGGGATTCCTCAAAGGTAGCAAACATGTGGGCACACATTTCCCAGTTGCTACAGGTCAAAGAGAGACAAAGAAAATTAAAATTCTCAGTAATCCATGCATTGAGAGCAGCAAAGCCTCCACGGGGGAAGAGGAGAAAACCTACTTCAGGATGATGACTCTGCCCTTTGCAGTAGCGGTCATTGAGCCATCGTCATTAATGTTAAACTGGGCTACAACGTTGTCGAGTAAGAACAAGCCCTCAGGGTCCTTTTTTCCTACAGCGTACCAGGTCCCTGCATACTATTGGGAAAAATATTTTTAGTTAAACCTTACAGGATAAAATTTACTTTATGAATGCTAAGTCTTATGTTACTCACAACTCACCCTGGTTTTGTCAAAGTCCTGCTTGACCTGGAAATTCTCCACCTGGCAATCCTGCGCCCAGGACAGCGCCAGGAGGCAAAGAACCACAGCGAACCTCAGCATGCTACCTCAGAGGAAGGGAGGAAAAATGGTAAAAAGTTAGACGCAAAAACTTTGGAAAAGAAAAGGAGAAATATCTGTTATTTTTCCTTAAAGTTCTCAGATTAATTTCAGCATAGTCTGATGAAATTCTTCAAAATATCTCCAAAAACCAGTTTGTGAAGATTAAAATTTGTAAGCAAAAAGATTGCCCTTGACTCAGTGCATACCTTGGTGCAAAAAGAAGTGGCTGTCTCGCATAAAGTCCACTCTTCAACTTCCTCCTGACTTTATATACAGCTGTCTGCTATTGCATAATAACATCCTGGGGTTCTGGACCACCCCTGCTCTCCCCACAGTCAGTCAGCAGCGCTACATTGGACAAACATTTGCATAACTCCTTGTGCTGGTCCAATTGATTTGTGTGTTCTGCACATTTGGTTGACCGCTCCTGAGTCCCCGATTATGAACAATTTTCTCCTTTATCTTCTGAGATTTTTTTAGTCTTGGTCTAAAGTACAAAATGAAAGTGCACATTTGAAACATTTACTAAGTTTATAAAGGTCTGGTAGGGCTTGTAGATAGAGCATTGCCACGGAGCAAGTTAGTGATGTTTATCCACTGTCGTTAACTGAGTAAGTAAATTCTCTGAAATTCCAGAGATCTCAAACACACTCTTGTATAGAATTAGAATTTTGCTATATTTGTCAAATAAACTCAGTTTTATAAGTTTCTCAGTTTTATAAGTTCCTCATCAGCATAATTACATCAGCTACTGGTTTATCTCCAGTTACTCTGTTTGTATGAAACAAGGCCAAAGTCCTCTCTCCTTTGATGTCATCTCATATGCTCAGGTCCATCCTAATTTCCCCTCTACAAATGTATTTGAGGGTCAAAATAGATGACAACCCAAAATAAAACCCAGTATAACTAGTAATTGTCACATTAACTCGGACATTTAACAGTCAACTTATTAAACAGTGTCGCAAAATATAAAATCTGTCATCCCAAAATGAAAATAGACAGAGCATGACACAAAAAGAAACACTATGAAAACACACCTAAAACACTCTTAGACAGGAGAAGATTCATCGGAAAGGTCTCATACATTCCTGCTCTGGAGGAGCAGCAGAGATCCGCAGCTCAGGTATTGGGAACCTGTTGACAACACAACAATTAGTCTTTCGATAAACAAATTTGCCCTGCATAGAGGAGTCACAAGCTTGTTCAATTGAAAGGGAAAAAAAGCACAGGTATAACAAACCTCGAAATGTACAAAAGCAAGAGACCCATAGATGAAATTATAGAAAGAAGTGATTTTACAAACTATCGAATCAGAGGGCTAAATGTGGCTTCCAAGCTTTACTTGTTCAAAAAATTTTGAAATCATGCTTTTATTCCACTTCTCAAGTTACTCCGCGTTGTGAGGGTCTATAACAATAATCA